GGTCTCTCATTACCACGCAGTCTGTGAGTGTTCCCCATTGCTCAAAATGGCTCCTCAGACTCTCATCAGTTGTTTCAAAGCTCAGCCCTCCGATGAAGAGCTTCTGTAGTTGTTCGGGCTCCTTGGGAGACTCTGACTTAGACATGACAGCAGTCGGAAGAGAGCCTGATGATGCTTCCTCTGCGGTGTCCACCAGCAGAAAAGCTGGTGGCCAGTTCTTGATCTGATCCCATTCTGCTGGAGTCCTAGGGATTCCTTCATTCCATTATTTATTCACTTCACAGTGACTCTTGAACAGCCACTGCGCCCTGCACAGTGCCAGCCCCTTGCTCTGTAGACACTAAATGAGTAAACAAATCCATCAGTCATTCCTGCTGAGAATGAATGTGATGTATAGAGACAAGAGAAAGACAGTGGGCAGGAGGATGGGGTCATCAACCTGGTGACATTGGTGCAAAGACCCGTGATGCCCTGGGAAGGAGCTTGAAGGCTGAGCTCAGGGAAGGCGCAAGGCCAGCAGTGGGATGGGAGAGTGCTGATACATTGAGGTGGGGGAGGGGAAGCTGGAAGGCAGAGCCACCTGCCTTTGTAGGCCATGTTAAGGACATTGGAATTGATTGTAGAGTCATGGGAAGTCACTGGAGAGCCAAGATCAGAGGAGGCGTGTGATCTGTCTTTTAGTTTAAAACAACCTCTCCGAGCACTCCGTGGGAAGGGGGGTCACCCTGTGGGGGGCTGGGTCATGACTTGGAGAAGCCCAAGTCAGCCTCATCTTTGCTTAATGGCAAATACTCCCTGCCAAATGTGGCTGCTCGCTGTGGGTGTTATCTCACCCGATCCCATAAAACCTTGGAGGAGGGTGAGCTTGCTAGTCCACCTGATGGATGGGGGAGATGAGGCTCAGAAGGATTAAATCACAGGGCCAGTAAGTGGTAGTCTTGATTTGAGCTCCCAGGTCCTCAAGCTCAAAGCCCTCTAGCCAACAGCGGCCTCACACAGGATGGAGAGAAGCTGAAACACTTGTGGATGCCTCGCAGTGCAGCATGGTGGGAGGGGGAGGTCTGTCCTCCTGTCAGGCAGCAGGCTCGGCTGCCTAATGGTCAAGAGAAGCAGAGTTGGGGGATGGGAGCTCTCCGATGTGGGAGTCAGCTCCTCTGACTGCCTGTTTCTCCCCATAGTGCGGACCAGGCTCTGGACCGGTTTGCAATGAAAAGATTCTACGAGGATAAGATCGTGCCCATCGGCCAGCCATCCCAGAGAAGGTGGGTCTCCCGGGTATGTGCCCAGGGGATGGCATGGCTGCTTCCTTGGGAGGTGCCAGGCCTGTGTGCCCAATCTGGAGGATGGAGTGTGTGGCATGAGTGAGCCTAAGCCAGCCTGTGTGTGCCTGCAGGTTGGCACTGCAGGGTGCTCCTGACACTTTTCCCCTGAGCACGGAGGGTGGGGAAGGGGTGGTCTACCTGGGGAAAGAAGGTACTTATGCAAGGAAGTGTGCTGTTCTTGTCCCTGGTGGCAGGGTAGCTCCAGAGCAGGGGTGAGTCTACAGGAAGCTGATCTCACTGCAGCCTGACGTAGGAGGCCAGAGACCCAAGATATGGGTCACCTTCTGTTGGGAGAGCTTAAGACACTCTGCTAAGGGTTCTCCTCTGCCCTTGCTGTGTGTTCCCACACTAGCCCAGCAGGAAGCAGGTGGAGTGGATTCATTCATTCACTGGGCAAGGTTTCGGGGCTGTGCTATAGAGCTTCAGGCATGGGACACCCAGGGGAATGGGACAGAGTTCCTTCCCTTAGGGAGCTGATGGTCTGTTCTGAGTGGTGGACATTAAACAAGTGACCACATAGCTAGACACTGAACAGGTGATTATAGGCTCAGTGTCCCATGCCTAGAATCTCAGGACTCTGGGAGCTGAGGCAGGAGGATCCCAAGTTAAGCCCAGGTGGGCAACTTGGTGATTTAATAAGAGCCTGTCTCAATTTTTTAACAAAGTGACCACATAAAAAGGCACTATAAGGTGACAGTGAATCTTAGGGATGCATGGAGGATTGTAGAAACCAGAGCCAGTGTGACAGGAGACCACGTTTGCTCATGGGGACAGCCAGGGACTACTTAGAGGAGGTGATTTGGAGCTCTGGGGCAGCGCTGTACCACACGACAATTTAGGACATCCTCATTGTACAGAGGAGAAGCCTGAATGTAGGGAGTCACAGCCAGGGCCCAAGGTGATAGTGACAGAACTGGAGTGTATGTGAAGAAGGCCTAGAGACTCTTGGGCTGGCGCATCCTGCTCTGTGGTTGTGCTGCCCTGGAGCAGAGGGTTGGCCCGGGAAGGTAGTGTGATGTTCAGTGATGTTCAGTCCACAGGAGGACAAGAGCAGAGTCAAGGTCAAGCAGTCAGCATGGTGGTAATCCCAGTCCAAACTGTATTCTGGAGTGTGGGAGTGATGCGCCCAGGAGCCTGTACTGTGATGTGCCAGCCCTGCCCTACACACTGAGGATATGGTGCAGGATCTGTTAAGCAAGGGCTCATGACATGAGCTTCCAAGGGAGGATGCCCAACTTTACAACCAAGAGCATTTCAGATATCAGGATAGGTGCTATGGCTAGTGGGCGGTGGGTGAGCCTTCAGAGGGGGTGACATGTGGAGTGCATTCTGAGTGGGGAGGAGGAGCCTCCAAACCCCAGGGTAAATGATGAAGGCAGGGGCAATGACAGGTGCAAAAGCTCAGAGGCTAAGGCTTTGTGTAGACCTTCCTAGCCCCAGAGAGCACTAGCTCTAGGTCCTGGACCCTTCCAGACTCTTCAGACTGAGGGTCCCCAACATGTACCCTACAGCCACCTTGCTTGGCTGACTAGGAGTGAGCAGGCACAGTTGGACACTCTGCCATTGTAGTGGGAAGCTCAAGTGGAAGTGAGTTGTCAGAAATCCAGCATCTTATAGTTGGCATGAAACAGCTGACGGTCAGCCTCTGGGTCAGCTGTCAGAGACATGAGGGCTTTGTGTGCAGAAAATCCTGGCAAAGCCCCAGACACAGTGGCTACAGGTCAGCGAGTCTACCCAGGCAAGAGAGCACTGTGGGCCAGTTCCCCGCTCCGAAATCCCTGGCTCTCCAGGGCTGCAGGTCTTGATCACATTGTGGCCCTTGACCTTGAAGGACAAGAACAAGCAGCTGTTACAATGGCACAGTGTGGCTGGGGCTTGCACAGATACACCTCTGATTCTCAACAGTGAAGCTTGGATAACAGGGACCCACTAGAGTACTTCTCAGGAAGAGTCTGGACCTAGATGTGTGCTGCAAAGCATGTAGTTGGTGTGTGTGTGTGTGCGTGCGTGTGTGTGTGTGTGTGTGTACATTATTAGTGTTGGCCTACAGCTCATATCTGCTGCCGCATCTGCTAAGGGGAGGGCATCCTATCTGCCCTATGTGGGTTTCCTATGCTGTCTTTGCCACTTTCTTGCCTGCTTGTCTTTGCTGCTTCTAGAGAGTGGGGCGTTTACAGGAGAAGCCATCAGGGAATGAAAGAGGGAGGGGCTTTGTCTGTGGCTTCTCCATTCATTGTCACCCGCCCCCGGACTCATTGTCCCTAGCACAGACACATCCTGTTGGCACGATGGAGATCTGATGGGAACCGGCCATACTGGGTTTCCGCTTTGACTAACGGGGCTAGGGGCTGAGTATGGGGCCTGAATAGGAGCTGGTGCTGCCCATCAGATTATCTTGGCTTGGGTAGTCCGAAATGGCCCCACCCAGACTCAGGGACACAGGCCCTTGGGGTTGGAGGTGGGCCAAGGAACCCAGAAGAGGAGGTGTGCATTGTCCTGGCCACACAGTTCTGGTCCCACCTACCTCACCAAACTGTTGGTTCCCTCGAGCCTCAGGATGCATTTGATTGGCCTGTGTGACAGCCTGGCAGTATCACCCTGTCAGAAAAAGCGGAAGTGCTCGCCAATCAAGGATCTCTGTCCAGTCCGGGCTGGTGCTTTGAAGCCCAGACTTCTCTCCTTTCCCTCCCAGCCCTCAGCCTCCCTTGAGGGAGTCCGACATCCCTTTCTGGACCCAAGTTTTCCTCCCTGTCTTGAAGGGGGGGAATGGGTTCCATTCTTCCAACAAACCCTTTGCTCATGGAATTAGACATTGCTAACCCTCAAGCTAGGAATTCTTACTGGGAGTTAGTTATTGCTGTTACCAAGGGAAGTACTTGACCCAGAAGCCCTCTGTATATTTTGGTAGTATATAAAGTAAAGAGCTGTAATTACTAGGCTCTTGCTCTTTTCTGGACTGTCAGATGGCTAGTAGATCTGTGGGGCAGATACAGGCCGGAACGGTAGGCTTGGTGTGAGTGTAGGCACAAGTTTGGGTTGGCTGGGTGAAGCTGTCAGAGCTGCTTGCTTCTTGAGCAGCTTGCCTTGTGCTGTAATAAGCAGCGAAATGATGCCCATCAGGGATATGAGGAGTAATTCCTGGGCTAGGAAGGAAACGGGGAAGAGACGCTTATATTTACCACCAGAGGGCAGTGTCACAAAGCTAGCTGTGGCTCAGAGCAGCCAGAGGGACTGGTCTTGGGTGGAGACCTCAGCTGCCAGGAGGCCGGGGAGAGGGACACTCATTGTTGGGGAGAAGGAGGCGGGTGGCCTGAGGCAGAGTTCTTGCAGAATGGAGAATGATGTTGACTCTGTAGCAGCCCAGGCCTTCTACCCTGAATCTGCCCTTTCCTCACACAGGTACGTGCATTACTTCAGCGGCCTGCTCTCCGGCTCCATCAAAATGAACAACAAGCCCTTGTTTCTGCACCATGTGATCATGCACGGCATCCCCAACTTTGAGTCTAAAGGAGGTACCTTCCTGTCCCGCCCCTCCACTGCCTCCCTCCCCGCTCCAGCTCCCCGCTCCCCTTGGGGGACTTGTGCACTGCCTTGGAGCTTCAACCACATCATTTCCTGAGCTTTTTGAGCTCTGGTCTGGTCATCTACAGAATGGGTTTGACACTTGCAGTGCCGACTGGCTGCTGCTGCTGCATGCGACTGTGTTTTGACAACTTAAAATACTTCATAAATGAAGTCAGCGTGTTTCCTCTTCTTGCTGCTTCTTTTGCTCTCTTTTCTTTTCCTTCTTCCCCTCCCTGTCTCATCGCCTCATTTCTTCCTTCCATTCTGTGTTTTCTTTCCCTTTGTCCTCCCTTGCCCACTATTTCTTCTAAGTTAACACCCACCTCTCCCTGACAGGGTGTCGGCCTTTTCTCCGCATCTACCAGGCCATGCAGCCCGTTTACACATCTGGCATCTAGTAAGTATCGCATAAGGACTTGAAGCCAGGGACACCCAAAGCCCAGGGCTGGGGAGTGGGGAGGTAGTGGTGGGGTTGCCTCATCTCTTCTCTTAAGAGGGATCAAGTTGGTGAGGGTCCCAGCAGCACTGCATAGGGGCAGGAGGGCACACATGTTGCTCCCAGCCCCTACACCCCCTTCTCTCCACCCTTGTCTCCCGTAGCAACATTCCAGGAGACAGTCAGACCAGCATCTGCATCACCATCGAGCCAGGACTGCTCTTGAAGGGGGACATCTTGGTGAGTGAGCCCTCTGTCTCAAGCCTCACACTCTTTCTCTCTTCCTGTGCCCCTCCTGGCCCTTGGACCTAAGAGCCACCCCTGGTGGCTGCCTTGTTAGAATCCTGGGTTTCCAGGGCTCTTGCAGAACCTTCTTGCCTCCAACAGTTGTCTGCTGCCTTGCTTTGGAGTTCATAGCCCTTCTTTCGGCTCATCTTTCATTCTGGGACATCTCCAGGGTAACAGCACTTGGTGTGGGCTGTTACTTCCTAGAACCTTGTTAGTGACGAGGACCCTCTCATATGTCCAGTCCTTCCCAATGCAGCCTTCCTTTTGCCATCCTGACATAGCTGCAGGAACTTTTTGGGAGGACAGTTTTGTTCTTATAGGTATCGACTGGTCCCTACCCCTCTATTGTTCTAAAAGTTTCCCCAGAGAGCTGTGAAATCCCAATGGGCGACCTCTACCTCCTAGGTTTGGCATGAGCCTTGAAGACTGACCTCTCACCTCTGCCCCTTCTTCCCCAGCTCAAGTGTTACCATAAGAAGTTCCGGAGCCCCTCCCGAGATGTCATCTTCCGTGTGCAGTTCCACACTTGTGCCATCCATGACCTGGGAGTTGTCTTTGGGAAGGAGGACCTTGATGAGGCCTTCAGAGGTGGGCACCATGGGTGGGGCCCCTGTGGCAGGAGAGCCCAGTTTGAGGGGATAGAAAGCACATGGGAACCATCACTTCTGAGCCCCATGGTGTGCAGAGTCTTGGGGTGCTTTTGATGGCAGTGGGAGGGAATTGAGAGATAACTGGATCAGAGCTGAGGTGGGTATAATCTGGGAATTCAAGTTGTAGCAGAAGTGGAGAGAAATCTTTCCTCAGCGCCTGGGCCATTTGATGTCTCACACCTTTTTCCTGACACTTGCTCTGTATCTCCTTCCTCTTGTCTTCCTAATTTAGTCCTCCTGATTTAGTGCCTGAATCTATCGGCAATCTCATTTTTTCAACCTTCATTTGGCAACCATTTTGTTTGAGGCTCAGTCCTAAGTACTGGGGAGCCAAAGGAAAAGATGATATGATCTCTGTTGGTGGAGCTCCAAAATCTGTGGAAGCAGGCCCACCATAGAGTAATTATCCCCTGGGGTAGAATAGCAATATTGAAGGGGCTTTGATGAGGGAAGGAGTGGTGATTAGGGGAGGATTGCTGTCTTCTTTTCATTCTTTTTTATTGTCTATTTGAGGTCTTATCTATATCACATTTGAGCTGGGAACATGCACAGGTGCACGTGCGCGCACACACACACACACACACACACACATCCATCAATCCATCCATCCAACCATCCATGCATCCATCCAATCATTAATTCATTTATGCATGCATTCATATACTCATCCACTTATTTATCCATCTATCCATCAGTAGTCTTAATCATTCATTTACCCATCCATTCAGATACCCACCACCTATCCATCCATCCATCCATCCATCCATCCATCCATCCATCCATCCATCCATTCAAATATCTATGCACCTATCTATCCATCTATTGATCCATGCTCATATTTTCTCATTTATCTGTTCATTCAGATATCCATCCATCTACTCATCTGTCTGTTTTCTCATCCACTCCCTATTCATCCATCCATCCATCCACCGATACATTTGTCTACCCATCCATTTATACATTCTCATGTTTGCTTATTTATCTATCCATTCGGATATCTACCCACCTACTCATCCTTTTTCTCATCCACTCTCCATCCATCCATCCATCCATCCATCCATCCATCCATCCATCCATCCATCCATCTACCCATCTACCTATGCATCTATCTATCCATTCATTCATCCATTCTCATATTTGCTTATTTATCTATCCATTCAGATATCTACCCACCTACTCATGTATCTATTTCCTAATCTACCCACCCACCCATTTATCCATCCATCTGTCCATCCCTCCCTCCCTCCACCTATCTCTCTTTTCACTCATCTACCAAGTCTGTATGTGCCAGGTATGTGCTAGATGCTAGAGATACAGAGAGAAATAAGTGAGACTCTGCCCTCTAGGAGCTCACATCCTTGTGTGTGAGGGAGATGCAAACATGATCTCATTAAGTGATGCCCATGGCGAAGGACTCATGCACAGGCATGATGGGTGTCCCACAGAACAGACAGCATCCTTGCCCTAACCCCTTCCTGCAAGCAGTGGGTAGTGATTTGGGTCCAAGCCAGCTTCAGGTAGTGAGCAGACAGGGGTTGGGATTGGGAGGAGGAACAGGTCCCTCTGTGGTCCCCAGAGGATGGGATGTTTCAGGAAGGCCCAACAGAAGATGCTTTTATAATTGCATAACAGACTATAACTGTCTTCAGTCTTGAAGAGTGAAAGTAAAGGTGTATTTCACAAAAATAATCAGAGGTTGGAGAAGACACAGGGAAGAGGAATTCCCAATTTCCTCCTTGTCCATAGTAAGAGTCAGGAGATACTATCAAAAAAGTACAGACCAAGAAACAGAGGCCGAACTATAGTGTTTAGTTCCAAGGCAGTCAGTAGGATAAATAGAGTTAATAACTAACCAGATAAAAGATGGAATTGTAGAAGTCAACTAGATAATTCATCCTCATAGTGGTGATCAATGGAAATGATTTAAAATTGATATTTTGAGATTGTGGCATGAAACTAGAGACTACTTATTATTTGGAGTTTTAGAGATAAATCACTTGTAGAATAAGAGAGATGGTTAGAAATGATCACCTCAGGTAAGCAGGACTGGGCCAAAGTGGGAAGATTTCACTGTACAGGTATAATTTCATATGTATATAACAATGCACATTGTAGGGTTGGGGAGATAACTCAGTGAAATAAGCACCTGTCTGCCAAACACAAGGTCCTGAGTTCAGTTCTCTCACCATACCAAAAAAAGAAAAAAAAAAACAAACCCAAACCCAAAACCAACCAAACAAAAAAACCCAATGCAAAACAATGCACATTGTATTGTCATATTAAGTAACTTTCTAACGTATGACTAATATATATGCCTTAGTTATTTTTTCTACAAGATTTTTTTTGTGGTACAAGAACTTGAACCCAGGGCCTTCACAATGAGTTATATATCCCCAGTTCTTTAAAAAAAAAATTCATTTTGAGACACAATCTTGCTAAGTCACTAAGTTGTCGAGGTTGAAACTTGAAAACCACAAAGATAATTCTTTCCATGGAGTCTTTTTTAAAGGAACTCATTGCCAATTTTGTTTTTTCTTCTTTTTTTCAGATGATCGGTTTCCTGAATATGGCAAAGTGGAGTTCGTATTTTCTTATGGTCCAGAGAAAATTCAAGGTATAAGACAAGTTAGAATCCATTCTCACATCCTTCCCTTCTGTGCTGACCTGCACCTGTCCTGTCCCACCATCCTCCCAGTGACCTGGCTACAGTTCCCAAGTTACCCATGACAGAGATGCAGGCCAGCAGAAAAGGATCTAGCTATCAGAGTGGACCTCCAGCTAAACATGAGCTGTGACTTAGTCTCTGGATAAACAAATTATAAAAGTAGACAGAGACTCACCGAGTTGGATAAACTGTCCTGATCTTATTAGATCACCATCTTGTTATATTCAGAGGCCTTGGGGCTGATGGCTGGGGGGAGAGGCTGGAGGTGGGGACACATGCGAAGGTGCTGGGTGGCTGGTGAGTATTTGTGAGGGTTGAGGTGATTCAACCTGAAGGGCGATTTAATAATAGCCTATAAGCCTCGAGACACTAAATATGGAGACCACTTGTTCTTCATCTTATTTGGGAATAGAAAGGAGACGACGAAGTTGGGCTCAGGGCAGGAGCGCTCTGGGTAGACTGGGAAAGGACACCAGGCAAGGGAGAGGACTGAGCCAGGGAGGCTGGGCTTGTAGCTATGTGGTCTCGCAGAGCCAGCTCTGTGTGCAGGGGAAGGGGACCCAGCCTCCCCTTGCAGGTGTCTGTCTGGAGTGAAGAGCTTTTTAAGTGGGGCCCAAGGGCATGCCTGAGATGGTCTTTAGAGGCTCTGTGTCCTCCTGGGTCACAGCTGCTATTTCCCTATTGTCCCTAATCCCAGGGAGTCCAGGTCAAGCCTGTCCCATATCCCTTCTCCTGACTCCAGGGCCAACTCCTTGGTCTCATGGTCTGCTATAGGCCCAGGGTCACAGAAGAGAAAGGGCAGACACCCATCCAGGGAGCAGGGTCTTCATTCATCAGCACCCTGTCCTGATTAAACCTTGTGACCTGCTACGAGCCTGCTCAGGAATGCAAGAAACCAGACTCCTGGGTTCTCCATCCAATTTAAGCCACTGTCCCGCCCCATTATGCTCCAGAACATGAGAAGTCCCTTGGGGAGCACCCTGGGGGGAGCTGTGGGCCCTCTGTTTGTCCAGCTGCTTGCTGATCTCTTTTCCTTACTCCCTGCTGTCTCCCTGTCCACCCCCACCTCTCCCACCTACTCAGGCATGGAGCACCTGGAGAATGGGCCCAGCGTGTCTGTGGACTACAACACCTCTGACCCCCTCATCCGCTGGGATTCCTATGACAACTTCAATGGGCATCGTGACGATGCCATGGAGGGTAGGTGGTGACCCGTGGCTTCCAGCCTCTCCCCAAACTGTGCGGCCCTGGCTCCCACGGCCTTGGTTCTCTCGGAGAAGCCTGGGAGGGCGAGCTCCTTGGAGGCAGTGGCCTTATGTGAGGCTTGCTCTGTCCCCCTGTGTCACACACTGTTGGCTACATTTCTTTTAAAGCCACTGTTGGGTTTCTTCAGGCTGGCTGCCTGTATCTCTGGTCAGAGCGCTGGGCGCGCAGATGTGTCTAGGGCCTGTAAGCTTTCATCAGGTGCCAATGAAAATGTTTGAGATCTGGAAATGAACCAGTTTGCTCTGAAATGTGAAAAGAAGGCTGCAGAGTTGAAGTTAATGAGTGTTTAATTTAGCTACAAAACCTAGCATTATGTCAAGTGGTCAGCTGCAACTCAGGTCACCCCTTGAAGGGTTTGTCCGAGTTGTATTTATTTGTGTGGTTCATTTGAATATGTATAAGGTGGGGGCGGAGCCTCGAAAATTGAGCATGCTCAGAGCCCAGGAGCTCTTTAGATACCCTGTCTGGGGTTTGGCCCCAGGCTTGTTTTTCTGATTTGGTTGCTGGAACCTTAGAATGTTGGAGCTGGGAGCAGTCTGGCCCTTGCATCTGTTTTCAGCTGGGGGTAACTGAGACTCCCTGAAAGGCAGAACCTTCTAACTTACCTGGTGACCCTCTTTTCACCAGGCCAGCACTGGCCACTGCACTGGCTCAGCCTGCCTACTGGAGCCCACTGGGCCTGGGCTCTTGGTGGTGTGGCTGAGCCACACCAGGCCTATCTATGAGCCTCTCTGTGCCTTCTTGCCTCCCACCTCCAGGGACCCAGCGTCCTCTGATTGCCACAGACACTCCTGTCCCTCAGGGCCCTCCATCCCAAGGGTGCTCCCCAAGTATTTCTCTTCCTTGGGCACCCAGTCCCCTTTGGAGGCTGAAATAATTAGCTCTGTGGTGCCCTGGCAGCCAGCCTATTGTTCATCATTCTGGGGACATTTGCATTTTTAACAAGAACACTTGGCAATTTGTAGGAATTTTTAATGCCTCCCGCCTCTCTCTGGTGCAGATTCAATGCGATGATAAATGTAGAAACATTTAGTGAACTAGAAAGTGCCAGCCAAATAAAAGGTAAAATAATTAAGGCCAGAAAGGGTGGATGTGGGAAAGACTGGGCTTGAGGGAAGGAAGAAGAGCAGACGGGCAGTGCAGGAGGAGCTAGGGACAGCAGGAGGCTGGGAGGGCAGACAGGGCTGGCACAGGAAGGCCCTGGACCGCCCCCCTTTCTTCCTCCTCTCCCTTCTGATCCGCTCCCCCGGGCAGGGGGTTGGAGCCAGCAGGACCTCTGGGCCAGTTAAAGGTCAGCTCGCCCTACAGGGACAGAGGGGCTCCTGTCTGCAGGCTGAGAAACTGGCCCTCTGCCTCATGGGGAACAGCAGTCCCCTCCCCCTGGCCTGGCCTGACTAGGCCTGGGCTGGGCCAGGAGATGTTGGGCTGGGCTGGTCGCCAGGCGAGAGCCCACCCTCCGCTCCTACTGTGCACCCTGTCTGTGTGCTGGTGGCACTTCTGGAAAGATCTCCATTTTAGGGTCTAGGAGTCAAGGGATTTTCCCCTGGCTATTGGTAAAGAGAAGAAAGTGAGAGGCTGTTTGTCTTTCTAGATGAGGTTAGCTCCCAACCTCTGTTGCCCCACATTTGAGCTAGGGTAAAGGTGCCCAACCCCCAGGACTCCAGGTTGCTCAGGAGATGGGTTGAGCTGGAGCTTGGGGGTGACTGTTTTCTGGAGAGGCCCCTGTGCTGGGGGAGACATGGTGACCCCAGAAGCTCTGCCTGCTCTCTGCAGAGTCCTGGACAACAGGACAGCCTGACAGGAAGCACTGTAATGCCCTGCATAAGCAGCCGCCAGGTCAGCCCCTTGCAGCTCCATGCCTTTGGTCAAGGATTTAGCCTTTCCGTTACCTAGATTTCTCATCTGCCAACTTGGGGCAGTGCTGTTGTCCATGTCATTGAAGAGGCTCTTTATCTTTTATGTTTTTCAGTACCAGGAATTGAACTCATAACTGTGCACTTGCCAGGCACGTGCTGTGCCGCTGAGCTATGTATCACTGACCCTTCAGGAGGTTCTTTAGCATGGGGTTAAGAATGCAGCCTCTGGAGCCAGACCACCTGGTGTCAAATCCTTTGACAAAGTACCAATCCTGAGGCCTCAGTTTGCCTGCTTCTAAAATGGGATTCAATCAAGAAATCGTTTTGGGTGATTGTGGGTAGCAAGAGCTGGGGAGCAACAAGCTGCCCATGGTGTTTCCTCATGGGTTGCTGACCCTTCAGTGGTGGTAACCCCAGCACCTCAGCATCTGCAAACATGGTGGAGGGGAAGCCTCTAAAGTGCCACGAGCCAGCCACAGGCCCCAGAACTTGACTGTTGTCACCGCTGTGAGGTGGGCACAGTTACTGTGCCCAGATGGCAAACATAACAGAGGTAATCTGCCCACAGTTGCTGTGCCAGTTAAGAGGCACAATACCACGTATGGTGCCATCTTGCATGGCCTGCTCTGGGCATCTGTGGCAGTCCCTGGGTCTTTGCTGAGCTTGGGTGAGTGTCTCCTCTCTCTGAACCCTACTATGTACTCTTGGACAAACAGGGTCAGCTGTCCTGCCTCCCAGGTAAGGGGTGTATGCTTGGTGGTCATGCATAGGATGGGCTGTCACAGAGGCCAGGGACTCCACCCATGGTGGGCAGTTAGTGGGACTCCAGTGTGGGGACCACAGAAGAGGGGGTGGGCATCTCACTCTGGAGAACCCTGGGTGGGTGGGGGCAGCCTCTCCAGTACATGGAGTGCTGTGGGGCCATTGCTGGACATAGCCACGTGTTCCTCTTCTGTTTCAACTGTGCTGCAGGGGTGGGACAGGAGAGGTCAGGCCAGTTCTCCTGGAACACACTGCATAACACAGAGTGGGAGGCGGGGAAGCAGGCAGCAGATACCATCTCTGGCTGCAGTCCTCTCCAGTGACCTGTGCCCCCACTTTGCCCACATTCTGGCAGCATAGAGCTCAGAGCTCCTGGTGACCCCATCTTAACCATGTCTCAGGAATGACTGCATAACTTCCTCCTTTGCAGCCCCTCCCCCAAGTACCAAGTTCAGTTTAGGACACGTGGTTGTGTGATACTTAGTGCTCCATTTCCATCCCTGATCAGTCTTGATGGTAAATGAAGGAAGAAGGATCCATGTTGGGTGCTGGGTGTGGTGGTGTATGACAGTAACCCCAGAAGTCAAGAAACTGAGGCAGGAACCTTGCTGTACGTTCGAGGCCAGCCTGGGCTGCATAAGCCAATTTAAGGCCAGGCTGAACTGCATAGAAAGATCCTGTCTCAAAAACAAATACACACACACACACACACACACACACACACACACACACACACAGCAAAAATAAAACTACCCCTCCCCCCAAAAAACCCATTTTGGGATTGCTGGTTCTCTGTAGTCTGACGTCCCACACTGGGGTGGCCTAGGCTGGTCATAAATGCCATCAGATGCCATCCTGCCACAATGAGGGACATCTCATAGTCCCCATGTGTGGAGCCCACCTTGGCATGGCTCAGTTCAGGCCGTGTCGCGCGCATGCTCCTGCCCCAGTGAAGTCCCGGTAGATGGGTAAAGGTTAGTAATCTCACCAGGTCACGAGGTCAGGGGTGGCCTTGATGGTTGAATTCAGCTATGTCTGACTCCAAGTCCCTTTCCACCACCCTGGGAGTCACTTGTCAGCCCTCCCACCCCGAGTTCAGGTGGCTCCTCTGGGCTATTGTCCAACTCATCTCAGCCTTACTATGACAGAGAACTCACTAGCATCCAGAGCTGCCCATGCCACTGCGGGGCGGGTCCAGGAAACCAAGCCATGGACACGAGGGACAGTTCTGTTTGTGCAGTGGACCAAGGCTTTGGTGGCGATGGATGCTCATAGGTGTGTTGGCTCATGGGCATGTAGGCTGGAAGGCAGGGTGCTGGGGGGAGGAAAGAGTGAGTTGGAAACTCAGGGTCAAGAACCACTTGATGACTCGACAGCGTTCTAGACTGTGGGGTGGTGGCCAGGGAGCAGGGAGCACCTGCCATGTTGGGGAGGCTGGGGCCAGTGGCTTGGTGTCTTGTCTGCTGTGGTGGCTATAGCAAGGTACCACAGCTGTGGGTTTGAATAAGAGAAGTTGCTTTCTCACAGCTCTGGAGGGCAGAGGTCTGAGATGTAGGTGTCAGCAAGGTTTGTGTCTCCCGAGGCCTGACTCCTTGGCTTGTAGATGAGATGCTGTCTCCTCCCTGTGTCTCTCCCCATCATGTCTCTCTGTCCCAGAGTAGGGCCTACTTAGTGACCTTGTTTCACCTTAATCACCCTTTTAAGACCCCATTTTCAAATTTGTCACGTTTGGAGGGGCTAAGTCATATCTTTCTCAGTAAGGACTGGGGCATAGGACCTGAAGGGAAGCCTTTCAGGTGGCACACCTGGGAGGGAGTGTTCTGAGTTCCATGTAACCAGATGCCTGGGCCTTGGGTCCTGGCTGTGGAGGAGGTGAGGTCTTTGAGTCTGTGAGTCTGCCCCCACCCACAGCTTTGCCTTGTGGCTGCTCTGCCTCTCCGGCTTGCTTGGGAGCCTGCCAGCTCAGCACTCTGGCTGACACCACAGTTCGAGCCTCCAGAAGCCCCATTAGCTCCTTGGCCTGAGTTCTGAAGCCCCATGCCTGGATTCCAGCTCCCCGAGGGTGGGAGCGGGGCTGTATTTTTGCCTATGCTGCTCAGAGCAGTCTCCAAATTCTTCCTGAGTGTTCCAGGGCTTACCTTCTGAAGCCAGCCTGAGGCGTGAGGACTGCCTTCTGCCTCTGAGGAGCTGAGGCACCCAGGCCTGAGCTGCCTCTGTCCACCCAAGCAGCCCACCTCTCCTTGACCTCAGTCATGGAGAGGCTTAGAGTTTCTCATAATGTAAAAGAGAGGGTGGGGGTGGGGGCTGGCAAGTGGC